TCTCTCTCTCTCCTCCACTTCACTGACTCACCTCTAAAAATCCATGAAACCTCTCAAATGTGTGTCTGAAGCACAAAAAGGACCTGCGGAGAAATCCACATGCATGTTTGTGCTCCGGATGTTTGTCTGCACGCTCATTAATCCTCTGAGAAGAGGAGCGAAGCGACGTGGGAGCTGGAATCAATGGAGCGAGAAATTAGCCCTTAATTAATAAATATTAGTATTCAGCTCGGCCGCTGCTGCAGGAGGAGACACCTGTGAGCATACCAACACAGCGCTGGAGCAACTGCAGGCCGCAGGTGTTTCAGCAGAACACAAACGAGGAATGAAAATAAGTCGAAAGGTAAAAACTGGTGTCGTTGATTTTTCTTTATATGATGCAACTGTTACAGAAAAGTTCTTGAGGCCTGAACAAATCTTGAATATGTTAAAACCGGTTAATTAAGAAAAAAAATGTTTATTACAAGTTACTGAGGATCAGAAGCAGACTGTCAAAGAAAATCATCTTTATCGCCCCCTGGTGGCTCGCTGCAGTATAGGTCATAAACCCCCCGCCCCCTCCATGTTAGCAGATACGAAAGTCAAAGCAGACGCTAAATAAATGTTTGTCGTTATTTTCTCGCTGATGTTTGCTCAAGTGTTTCTGATCAGTTTGGTTTGAATTAGTTAATTAATGATGTAAAAAATCATGATTGGCAGCTGAGATAGATAAAGTACGTGTATGGGCGGGGCCTCTCTCCCATGGCTCCACCCATTATCACTACTGCACAGACTCTGAAAGTCGTCACCACAAGAGGGCGGAAACAAATGAACCTGTCGTGTGTTAACACAGTGAAGAAGTGAATATCTGACTTCAGCCTCAATCTCCTCAGAGACGTGATGGAGGTGGATCAGGAGAGAGACGACGAAACCCAGAGTATCTGTGGAAGGACGGACGGACGGGTTGTGAAAATAGACGAGTGGAGGACAAACAGAGAGAAAGTGGAGTGGAGTGGGATGAAAGTGAGAACACGGTGAGAAGTGAGTCAGCCGTCAGTGATAGATCTTCACCTCGACACTCAGGCAACATCAGGTTATTTCTGAACACAACCAGGCTGAAGAAGAAACGACGCTGGGCCAAACACTCACCGCACGCCACGGGGGAGGCTGACAAAACACGCCAGAGAGAGGGGGACCATGGGAAATAAAGAGAGAGAGTGTGGGAGGCGCGGCGAACAGGAGGCCTGGATGAAAACTGCTGAGAGAGGGAAGAGGAGAAACTGCAGCCAGCCACCAGGGGGCGATCCCGATCTCGGTCAACGATAAATATTCATTCGTTGTTTCTTTTGAACAAGTTGTAGAAAGTGAGAAACTATAAATACGATATAATATAATGATGTCATTTCATTATAATCATCCTCAAACAGAAGCTCTGTGTTTCCTTCTGTTAATTCAATGGATCATAGTTCGTGGTGGCTGTGGATCAGGGGGGAGAGCGGTCATCCTCTAACCAGAACGTCGGCTGTTCGATCCCTGTCTTCCCCATTCAGCGTGATAAAGTGTCCTGAAAGTGCTGCACATCGATATAAGAACATTACTTTAGCTTTGCTCAGTGAAATCTCTTCTTCCTCACATATGTTCCTCTGCGGTTTCATCACAGTGACGGTGTGAAGAGAAGCAGATAATCTCCAGACTCTGGAACAGACTGAGGCTATTTACAGTCCGGCTCTGTGCTGCTGCCTCACATGAGCGTGTCTCTCTGTGTCCACACGACGCTGCCAGGCTCCGCTGCCAAGTCTGATCCATCTCATTAACAAACACGCCTCCCCTGCGACTCCCTCCTCTTCGCTGTGTCGTTGTCCTCCTGTGCGTCCTGCTAATTAGAGCCGCAGGGCTGGATGCGGGGGTGAAGAGGTAGAAGAAGAGTCTAAATCAAAGTCTCATTCAGGGGATTCACAGGAAGCGTTTGGTCGTCACATAAACAGACGGTTTTGGCGGCTGTTAGCTCTTCGGCCTCAGGGAATCCTGAGCAACGTGCGAAGATGACGAAGGCCGAGCAGTGACACGGCAGATTAACGTCCAATCAGAACAGATTTATTTATCAATCAGGGGAGAAAAGGTGTCAGGCTGAACTCGACCAAAACCACAAACTAAACCAACACGTTCTCCTTATTTCTCTTCTGGCCACCGTCAGGTAGATTCATGCAGGTGTGTTTATGGGAGGCACACGACAGTGTCATCATGCAATCATGGAAGAGTCTGTGCTACTTTAAAAAACATGGCGGCCTCCGTAGAGAGGACCCGCTTCTGATGTAAATATAAAGTATGTAAATATAAAGGTTCTATTCTAGTGTAAAAAAAAAACAATTTCTATAATTGAGATGAAACGAACGAGTGAAAAAATCACGAGGATTATTTCATATTAACTTTCTGCCAATAGATCATTTCACCCAAACCTGCCAGGAAATCTAAAAATACATTGAAAGAGGAAAATAAAACAAACAGAACTGAGTAAAATGTGACTTTAAAGACAGAACATGTACAGACTGAGAGCAGGGGACACCTGAGACCTGCAGAGAAAATACAAAACGTCTCTGAATGTGAAAACTCACGAGGATCCATCGACCTCAGAGTAAAACTTTGATCTGTTTGATCTGCAGGTGAAGCAGGAACAAGCCTGTGTTCTACTGCCACCTGCTGGAGAGGAATTCACTTACAGAAAATTCTTATAAACCCAATTTGTCCTCACGTCCTTTCCTCCTCTTTATTTCCATCCTTTCTTTTCCTTTCCTTTTCCCCTTACTCTTCTTCCCTCTCCTTCTTTCCTTCCTCTCATGTTCCTTCTTATTTTGTCACCTCTTTCCTCTTTTGTTTCCTTTCTTTTTCTATCTCTCCCTTTTCCTTTCATATCCTTCCTAACATCCTTTCCTTTTTCCTCCCATTTCCCTCTTTTCCTTTCCTATTCTTTCATATCTCCTCTTTTCCTTCCTAACTCTTCCCTTCTTTCCTTTCCTCCATTCTTTTCCTTCCCTATCTCTTTCTGACTCTTCCTTTCCTTTCCTTTTCATTGCCTTACCTTTCCTTACCCTCTTTCTTTCCTCCCATCTTTTCCTCCCTTCCCCTCGAACTCAAAGGTTAGAGGTCGTTCATTTTTTATTCCTCATGTTTTTACTAAATCAGAAACGAACCAGAGAAACCAGTGAATTAATTTTCTCTCTTTAATTTTTCAGTATATTTCAGACGCAGCCGTTCTGCTTCGTATCAAAACAAAAGAAATCGCGTTTATTCAACCGGCTCGAGTCCGACACACTGACACAGGTGCAGGCTGAGCAATTACATCACTGGATCATGAGTTTTCATAATCAGAATTACGTTTGATCATTTAAAGGAAAACTCACGATCTTCTCACGAGTTGAAACGTGTTGAAAACCCTGATTGACACGGCTGCTAAAAACATTACAAATATGTTTACAGTCCACTAACATAGCAGCTCTTTGTGGGTAATTATCCCTGTCGACTTATGATTTGTAATCCTGTCCATTTTATTTACAGTCTGTTGAACATGTTACGTTACATGTGATTCACTCACCAGATGTTAAAATAGTTTTTCCTTTAACGAGTCTCCCTGTGAAGAAACATTCACGTTGGCACAGCTGATAAAATCCAGACCCGGCCAACGTTAAAAGTTAAACGAGCACCACACGTATGTTGAAACATTAGAAACACAAACCTGAACTAAATCTAAAATAGAACAGTGCATATTAAATCAGATTTTATACATTAAGATGCATATTAATCGACAGATAAGGTCTATATTAGAATTTACCTGTGGCCTGTACAAACCGATGAGGTGACGCGAAGAGAGGAAAGTGTGTCATCGGCGAATGTGATCATGTGACAGATGCAGAACTCCAACAACACACTGGATCTAAAGCAGATCTCATAAATTAGAATCTGCACCGTCATGCTCTGTTTTCAAACTGTACACAGTAAAGATAAAATACAACATTTACATTATTGCTTGACGTTCGGTTATGGCTGAAGTGACATCATCGTTTGCCAGAGATTATTTTGTACTTGGACGTGCAGAAGGATGAGATGAGATGAAGCTGGTGAAATAACATTTATCTTTTCAAGCAGGTTTGGTGTTTAAATATGATGTAATGATGTCGATAAAATACCAAGTGAACTTTTACAAGCAAGAGCAATGTTACAGATGTTATTTTAAAAGTGGAATCACTTGTCGTGGTTTCTCAGATGTGTGATTTGTTGGTTCGTGTGTCTGCATAGTTGAGTCGGGCACTGGCTGCATAGCAAAAACAGAAAATCGTTCAAAATGCTGATTGGGTGAAGGTACGATAATTGCGAGACTGTTTAAACTACAGGTGAAAGACCTCAGGGGGGCGCTGTTCTGTTTATTCTGGATGTGGGACATTGGCTACTAGCGGGCTAGCATGCTACCATCAGTAGAAGAAATAACGTGGTCGTTGGATTCACCTCGAGACAGAAGTTGGTGAGGAAAGAAACAGTTTGATGCTGAACGTGTCTGATAGATTAGTAAAGTAACAGCTGCTGATGTAAAGTCACTGGAAGTCGGGGTTCTTACGGGGCTGCAGCACCCCCTACTGGCAAGGGTGTGTAACTGCAAAACTGTTAACTAACCAGATAATTGAAAAAAAACTTTCATTTGATTTTCCAGAGAAACGTTTCAAGAGCTTTGAAGAGCATTTGTTAATCCAACTATTACTACTTTACAACATTTGATTTGCTTTAAGAAAAGACAGTTTCTCACACGATCTCTATTTATGATCATGTGGTGCTTATTCAATTATTTGTGAAATTAAAGACAAACTAACTGAGATGTATTACAGATGACATTACAGATTTACGTCTTCGTGTGGAACCAGTGACTGAGAGCGTCACACAGACGACGGACATCAGAGTGTTTCACTGTTTTCACTGGATTTGATGGAAAAAAAGAAGAACAGAAAACTTGTACTTTAATATTTGATGTCTTTAAATTTCCGCTCTTTTTTATTTTTAAATCAACCACTAGGTTGGTTTAAAAATAAACTGTAATTCAAAAGAATTCAGAATACATGAGATTCACAGTGGCTGAAACTGAGAAATAAGAAAACCTGCACTTCTAAGTAATAACCACTAGATGGTGCTACAGGCTATGTGCTCTCTCTGTGTGTGTGTGTGTGTGTGCTGCAGGATGAAAACAAAAACAACAGTCAGATCTCATGTCTTTGTCACGTTTAAGACTCTAAATACTACACTTCCCATGATTCTCTGTGCTCTGTTTTGAGTTTGTTTGTAAAACTGAACTTCTCCGTTCAGGAGGTCGGACGTTGATTTTTTTTTGTTTCCTGTTTTTCCACAGAGAGAAGGAACCTTCTTCTTCCACGTCCAGGAAATGAAACGTATGTAAATGTGATGATGTTTCATGTGATGCTGCTCTGTCCGGACCCGTCACCTGTGAATTTATGTGAATATCATCTGAATTGCGGGGGACCCGTCGGTGACGACTCATTCGAACTGTGTTAGTGAAGCACCTGTTTGAACCTGAGTGATGCATCAGTTCAACAAACATTCAAAAACATTGACTTCAAACCTTCTTCTGTTCGGGGTGATATCTTTTCAGTCTCTCTCCTCTACACGAGCTGAACCTCCGAGGTTTCAAATGAAAGAATCAGCTGAGATGAGCCAGAGTTACAGAACTGCCCTTTCCATCTCTCACACTGTAAACAACACGCCGACGTGAATAGATACAGACGGACGACACGTCTCCGCTTCCTGAAACTCTCTGATACAAAAGCGGCCATCTTGTGATGATGACTTGATTTGCAGTCGGTCTGTGGAACCCTTGAACAAACGTCAGTGAGACGAGACCTTGTTTAACTTCGTCACTTCAGGGCGTCGTCACATCGTCCATCTTTATTTACAGTATGAATCAAATCTGTGTTAACTGACCATCAAGGATTCAAATTCACAGAACTTCAATTTGACACTTTGAAGATTTGATTTTTTAACTGGTTCAACAGTTAGATGGACGGATTTTTCCAACAGTCGCCCCGGATCACGCGTCCGCTCGGTTCATTCAGTAGTTTGTCCACGAGTTAGCTCACTAGCCACCTTAGCTCACCGGACTTTTCTCGAGGATGTGTGAATGAATTCATCGTGGTTGTAAGAAGAGCTGAGGTGTCGACGAGCTGGTGACGGAAAAACTGAGGTTTCAGTGTCGGATCTGAAACTGCTTCAGATCCTCAATGCAGGCGAAGAGAAACCACCTGACTCCTCCCTGCGTCCGAATCACAGAGCCGTGAGAGGAGGAGGCGAAGAGTTCACGTCTCTTCCTTCTCAAAGCCTCATCTGTCCAGGAAACGTGCAGCAGAGTCGTCACGTTCCTCCACGACTGTTCAAACCGGCCTCCGTCCGTCTGAATCCAGCAGCTCGCCGCCGGTCGGCTCTGTGGAGCGTTGCCATCGCCGCTCAGTCGTCGGCCTGCGGCGTCACTTCGAGGTCGGCACCAAACAGCTCCTTGTAAAGAGGAGGGAAGTGCGTCCGCACCACGTCGGGGTAAACGGTTCGGAACGCCGTCAGTTTCTCCGAGTGTCGACTGCACAGTGAACGCAGCGCTGATACTTTACATCTGAGCTGAGGACAGGAAGTGACATGATGGTTAATTTTTAATATGTCTCGTTACTGTGGCAACAGTGGGTTCACTCTGTAATCTATTACATCTCAGTGTGTAATCTATTACATCCCAGTGTGTAATCTATTACATCTCAGTGTGTAATCTATTACATCTCAGTGATCGATGAGCTGAGTTTGAATGTGTTGTGCTGTAGTTCACTTCTCCACAGAGGGGCAGCGTGGAGCCATTTTATATTTTGAGTGTTGATGTTTCATGAAAAAAGTTTCTAACAACAAACTGATCAATGTTGAGAAACAATTTACACAAACCTGTGTGTGTGTTAATGTGTGTGTTAATGTGTGTTAATGTTTGTGTATTAATGTGTGTTAATGTTTGTGTATTTATGTGTGTGTATTTATGTGTGTGTATTAATGTGTGTGTTAATGTTTGTGTGTACCTTGCTCAGAACTGCGTCTCCTCTGTGGTTCTTCTGCAGGACGTGTTGCAGAGCCAGCTGAGTTTTCTGCTGCAGCTTCTCCACCTGCAGCTTCTCCTGCAGCCAGGAGCGGTCTGCACACACACACACACACACACACACACACACACACACACACACACACACACACACACACACAGCTGTGAGGCGGCTGCAGATTGTGATAAACAGGCTGAAGTGAGAGAGTGAAGAGACAAACCTGCTGAGAGCAGAACGAACGCTGAGAAGAGAGCGAGCTCGTCCTCCGTCAGGTGCAGTGAACACAAGCTCTTAGCAAAGTCAAACACCGACGTGATCAGATCATCACAACCTGGAGACACACACACACACACACACACACACACACACACACACACACACACACACACA